AGATAATCCTGAAGAAATATGACACTGTTGTCCCCGACGAGACCGAGATAAAAGCGGAAGAGAGGCGAAGCTCAATTCAAATTACGGCGCTTTGATAAATTATTTGTTATCCTTCGTGTGTTTCCGAAGTCACTCGTTTATCTTGTTGTTGTGGATCGAGAGAGAAACATTTCTTTTGTTGCTTTTTCTTTTTCTTTTCTTTTTTTCAGTTCTGGTTTAGCCTCGTCGAGTAGTCTCAAAGCCAAGATAACGTCCGGCCTTGATCTAAAACAAGCTAATTAAATAGCAGTAGTAGAAGAAAAAAATTGGTCTTTTTCATTTGCTCTCCCACCTTCCCCGTCTCTTCTTCCCCCTTTCCCCTCTCCTTCATCTTCCTCTACTACTCTTTCACCACTCTCCTCTTTTCCCCTCGGTTTCTCTCCCCTCCTACTCTTGCTTGACCCCCCCCCCTTCTTCCTTCCTACAGTGCACCCGTCCCCCGTCCCCTCCTCCCTCTACACTCCTGCTCCCCCTTCCAACCTCCCTTAATACCGCCCTCTCCTTTCCTCCTCGTCCCTCTTCCCCTCCTCCTCTTCCCCCTCCTCCTCTTTCCCCCTCCTCCCTTCCCCTCCTCCCCTCTTCCCCCTCCTTCCTTCCCCTCCCTCCCTCTTCCCTCTCCTCTCCTCTCCCCCTCTCCCCCTACCTACCCACGATCTCAGAGGAGTCACCGAGGAAGATGTTTGTAGCTTCTTCTAAGACTGTAAGCCTGTCCTGGCAACTCGACACTCTCCCAGGGCCTCACAGTGAGTGTCATGGTGGGGGGGGTGATGCGCATGCATGGAGGGAAGAGGGTGTGTTTGTGTGTGGGTGGGTGGGGGTCGCGATTGTGTGGGTGAAAGGGGTATGTGTGTATCGGGAATAATTTGTTAGTGTTGTGTGTGTATGTGGAGGGGGTGGGGGTGAATGCGTGAGTTGAGAGTACGTTGGAGTGTGTGGGGGGAAGAAGGGGGGGAGAGAAGCTGCTGAGTATGTCGGGGTGGCTCTAGTGTAATTTGAGTGTTCTCGTGCGATGGGAGGAGGGGGGGCGGTATGTGTGTGTGTTTGCGTCCAGTCTTCATTTTCCTTCTTTCAGTCCCTTCCTCTTCTCTTTCTCTCCCTATCGTATCTCTCTCTCTCTATTTATTTATCTATCTATCTCCCCCCTCTCTCCTCTCTTCTTTCTCTTCTCTCTCTCTTCTCTCTTCTCTCTCTCTCTCCTCTTCTCTCTCTCTCTCTCTCTCTCTCTCTCTCTCTCTCTCTTCTCTCTCTCTCTCTCTCTCTCTCTCTCTTTCCTTCCGTTCCTTCATTCCCTGTTATTCCCCCCTCCCCCTCTTCCTCTCTCCTTTTCCTCTTTCTTACCCTTCTCTCCCTCTTCCCCCTCCCCTCTCTTCCCTTCTCCCTCCTTCTCTTCCATTCCCTTCTTTCTTTCTTTACCCCTCTCTCTATCCCCTCTTTTCTATCTCTCTTCCCTCTCCGTTTCCTCCATTCCCCATCCTTCGCCCTTTAACCCTCTCTCTCCCTTCCCCTCTCCTCCACACACACGCCTCGGCAGCCGATTAGTCCTTTGCACACATTCCCCTTCCACAGAGGACACAGACTCCCCCTCCTCCCTCCCCCTCACCCCCATCCCCCGCCCTCATCCTCGCCACCTACGCAACAACATAACACGCGAACCACATGGAAACAATTAATCAGCTGGAGAACGCAATCAAGGTCTGAGGGCAGGTAAATCACAGGTGAAAGCTATCAGGTTTTGGGATTAGGTGAACTAATGAGATGAAAACAGGTGGAGTCGCAGAGGGGTGCCGACAGGTGAGTCATGAGATAAGGGGGAAGAAGACAGGGATTTAGTTTTAGGTTTGTTTTTTCATTTTACGGGAACTAATATAATGATAGAGGGGTTTGAGACGCGCACACACTCGCACATATCATTACATACATACATATGTAAACAGACAAATACATACAGTCACATGTAAACGGACATATACATACAGACAGACAAATGTACAGACAGACAATGATGGATAAACAGTTATTAAGGACCACAACAAATCAAGACCAGGACTCGAAGAACAATAATAAACCAACCCGCTATATCCACACACGACCGATACACTGGCAGCCAACAGGTGTGTCTCCCGAGCGTGGCCGCGGGGGTGACAACATTACCCATAATTCTTCCAGCATTTTATTGCCCTCTCTGAGATAACACGCCTCCTTGTGATCTCGCCATGATAGCATCTACCCCCCGTCCATCCCCATTTCTCCCCCCCCCCCTCCTCCTCTCCCCCATTTGCAACATACCTTGTCGCAGATACCGAGTGTTTTTTTTTTTCTTTCTTTTCCTTCTTCTTGTCCTTTCTTATTTCTTCTTTTTTTATTGGTGTTTTTTGTTGTTGTTTTGTTGGTGTTGATTTTGTTCTTCTGTATCTTCCTCCACTCCCATTGTTATTCTTCTTACCTTTATGAATATTATCATGGTTGTTATTGTTATCTTCATGATTATTGTTCTTATCATGGTTACAGTTGTTATTATCATCATCATTCTTGTTATGATTGCCATCATCAAAATCATCGTTATCATCCTTGTTCGTTTTGTTATTGTCATTATCATCAATATCCTCATTATTTTTCTTTATCTTTTTCTGTATTTATCTTTCTGCTTCATTTTTTCCTCTCCTTGGGTGGTATTGACTTATTTGCCTTTTTATGTGTTCATTTGATTTTTGATGTATTTATGTATGTGTCTTCCCCTTGACCACGTGTCGAAAATAGTCTCCGGTTTAAAAAAATCAGAATTTGTTGGCCATTAAAATAGATTTCCAATGTTTTCTCTTCGAATGCTGATCTCTTGAGGAATCTCGACTGAACTAGAAGTCACAGAGGATGTTTGATATAAAAAGAAACAGTGATGGAAGTGTTGATACTAATGACAGTGATAATGACATGGATGGCAATAAGGATGATAACAATTCTAATAATGATGATGATGATAGACAAGGATGATATATGATTATGATAATAGTGATAATGATAACACGAAACAGTGATGGTAATGATAATAGAAGTGATGATGACAGGAATAATAATCATAATAATGGCGATGTTAATAATGATAATGATAATAATAATAAAAAAAAAACATTTACAATGTTGACGATGATGATAATAATAATTGTTAAACAGCAATATGATGATAGTAACAATAATGATAATGATATCAACACCCACGATAATAATAATGATGATAATAAGAAAAAATAATGATAAACATAAAAAATGTCCGTTCAGATTCCGAAAGAAAACGAAGACCCAAGAAACTACACGAGAAAAAAAAATAAAAAATAAAAAATAAAAGAGAATTAGTTTAAGAAGAAGAATCAAATATTTATTGCACTCCTGGTTAGCCCCATCTCCTCGCGTTGGAAAAGTGACGCGGTGCGGCGAGGAATGAAGGGAATGCAGGTCGTTCTTGTGTGTCGTGCGGCGCGGGGACTTTGCCTCGAGCGCCTATGCGAGGGCCGTTTGGGGGAACCTCGGTAAAGAGGTTTCTGTGTCTGGTTTAACGAGGGAGGGGGGGGGGAGAGAGACAGAGAAAGGGGGGTGGAGGAGAAAAGAGAGAAGAGAGAGGGAGAGAGGGGGAGAGAGAGAGAGAGTGGGGGGAGGGGGGAGAGCTATTGCTATTATTATTCTCATTACGTTTCTTGTTATTATTACTATTGAAATTATTACAATCATTATTATTATCATTATTATTTTTTCATCATTATTTCTATCATATATATATATATATATATATATATATATATATATATATATATATATATATATATATACAAATAGATAAATAAATATATATATATAATATATATATTATATATATATATACATTATATATATATATATATATATATATATATTATATATATATTATATATATATATATATATATATATGATATATATATATTATGTATATATATATATATATATATAATATATATATATATAATATATATATAATATATATATATATTTATATATATATATATATTATATATATATTATATATTATATTTATTATATATATATATATATATTATATATTATATACATTTTTATTTATTTATTTATTTATACATACACGTGTGTGGTGTTGTGTGTGCGTGCCTCTCCTTCTAACTCTAAGTGCTTCTTTGTCTCATTCACTCGCTCATTCGCCTTCTCCTTTCTCTCCCTCTGCGTCGGCGAAGTAATTGAAATGCCAGTTTTTAATTGGTTTGACCAGGGAAACCAAAACAGAAAACGCGAAGCCAAGTACTTGAGCCTTCCTCCCCCCTCCCCTCCCCATCTACCTATCCTTCTATTCTTACCTTTCCTCCATTCTTCCCTCATCCCATTCCTTTTTCCACTCTTCTCTCTATTTCTTTCTCTCCTCCATTTCTTAACACTCCTCTTCTCCTCTTCCTCCTCTCTCCTCTTTCCTCTCCCTCACTCTTACTCCTCTTTTACTCTCTTTCCTCATCTGCTCTCACCTCCTCAGTGTAAGAATACGTGTACAAGAGAATGTAATGCTTTAGACCTATTGTAAGTGAACTGTATTATACAGGCATGGGAGATCCCTAAATGGACGGTAAACCCCTAAAATGTCTTGTAGCTTTATTGAGTAGATTATATTTTTCTTTTTCCTCTTTCTGTGTCTGTTTGCTCTCATGTTTCTCTGTCTCTCTCATTCTTTGTATGTCTGTCTGTCCTGTCGCTCTCTCTCTCACTGTTTGTCTGTATGCTCGCTACTGTTTGTCTCTCTCTCTGCCTCTGTTTTGTATGTCAGTTCTGTCTGATGTCTGTCTTGTCTTCGTCTCTCTTCTCACATTTTGAGCATCTCATAGTTAACGTCTCTTCTCCTCGTGCACTCATCTCTCCATGTCTCATCTCGTTCTCTCATTTCAGTCTATATGGAACTCAATTTCTCTAACTTAA